ATAATATTAGTGATGAAATTAATAATAATTTTTTGTTTTTTATAAAAATTTATTAAAAAATATAATTAATATACATTTAAGAGTCCATATTAAAAAAAACTTTTTAATTTATATTTTGTTTAGAAGTAGTGGGTTTGTGATGTGGCTCTAGGTTTTTTTTGTTTTTTAATAAAAATAAATAAAAATTAATTAAAATTAATTATTTATAATAAATTTATATTTTTAAATACAATATTATGAAGTTGGCCGAAAAAAAAGTACAATATTGTGAGAAAAGTAATTGCATACTGCATTGTGCTAGAACAATACAAATGTAATTGAATTTGGTTTTACAGACACAAATAACTATTCGTCTTCTTAAGAAAGCTTTGGTTTTTTTGTTTATTTCGTATTTGACACTTTAACGTGCAGAATGAAAGGACCTTATTTGCCAATGTGAATGGAATAGGATATTATATCCTTCGCTACATTTTGAGGCAGGGACTTAACTGAAAGGATATAAAAGTTGGATGTTGCATTACCAATATCTAAGTGGCTTTAAAAAAAAAAAAATTATACACTAAAAGATAATTCTCTTCTTCTTAAACCCTTTCTCACTCATCACAGAATTTAAACTTAAAATCTATAATATAAAGATTTAAATTCTTAACTACTGAAATGATCTTTATAGATTTTCATTGCATCTGAACTTTAAACGCAAATTTGAATCTTAGAAATACTATTTCCGTTCAAACAATTTTTGTAGTTTGTAGTCTATAGTTTATAGAATGTAGATCTCAATGGAATTTGTCAGTCTCATAATATTAAAAAGAAAAGAAAAAGAAAAAGAAAAAAGAGCTTGTGCTACTACAAACATATGTAGATTCCTTTATCATTTGAGATTTTTTTATCTTTTTCTTTTATGATTTGTATAACAAAAATGTGTTTTTTAAGTTGAATTGTACTTCTTAAACTATAGTTTGGATTAAAAATTATTAAAATATTTTTAATAAATTTTTTTGTAATTTTTTATTAATAATATTTTAATAATTTTAATATTTAAATTGCA